CTTCCTTCCTTCCTTCCTTCCTTCCTTCCTTTCCTTCTCCCCTTCCTCCTCCAATTTCCACTCCCTTCAAGTGTTGATGATACTCCCTAGTTGGATATTGAAATATCTGCAAGAAGGCAACCAAGCTCAGAGAACACCAAGGACCCCGGTTGTTGTCTCCTCCTTCTCCTCCTCCTCCTCTTCATCCTCTCCTCCCTTCTATCACTGACGATGTTACCTAGTTGGGTAATGAAACATCTGCAAGAAAACAACCCAGCTCAGAGATCATCAAAGTACATCTCATTTCAATCCTGAACTAAAAAAAAAAAAATCTCTTCTACTGGTCCCAGGTGAGTGATCCATCTTCATGGTTTTCAACCGTGGCAACTGTTGAACCCTGGCCACCAAAAATACAGGATCTCCTGTTGCTATCATCCCCACTTGAAAAGCCCCACCACCTACAATAAATATCCTAAGATTTGGCCGGGAATCTTTATGCTTTTCAATCCACTATTTGAAGGTGGGAAGGCTGCAAAAATTTGACTGTCTTTTCTTCTCCTTTGACTCCTAGAAATTCTGAAAGGTTCATGTTATTCCCAAATCCTGAAGGATTTAAAGTGAAGGCTTGGCCATACTAGCCCTCCGCTTTCTGCCCTTTCTCTTCATCCCTGAATTCCCGGGGAGTTAGAAGTCTTCATCCTACAGGCACCTCTGCTGGAATTTAGCAGCTGCTTTAGCTGGGATTAACTCTGGCTGCCCTCTTTTGTCCTCTACCCCATTCATGCCGAGAATGGACCCTGAGGCGCCGGGAAAGGATGGTCTTCCACAGGGATAAATGGATAGCCCTGGACCTTGGGCTTATTGCAGAAACACCGTGGGAAATAGTTATTTAATCTTTTGAGGATTAACCTGGCAAATCGGTCTTGTCTCCTACAGAGCCAAGGAGGAGGCAGGTGTCAGGGGAGCTATCAGCCACCTGTACAGGAAGTCTTCGACTTATGAACCACCGTTGAGCCCAAAACTTCCACCGCTAAGTGAGACGAGTGAGTTTTGCCCCGTTTTAACATTGTTCTTAGCACGGTTGTTAAGTTAGTAACACGGTCGTAAAATGAATCTGGCTTCCACCTGGCTTGTCAGAAGGTGGCAAAAGGGGATCGGGTGACCCTGGGACACTGCAACCATCATAAATAGAGGGAGAAGAGGTAGAAGAAGAATAGAATAGAATGAGAAAGAATGGAGGAGGAGGAGGAGGAGGAGGAGGAGGAGGAGGAGGAGGAGGAGGAGGAGGAGAAGGAGAAGAAGAAGAAGAAGAAGAAGAAGAAGAAGAAGAAGAAGAAGAAG